AATTATAAGTAATCTGCAACATACTTTAACTTATTCACTATTAACATTTAATTTTGCAGGATTAATAAATTTGACTCTGCAATCCTAAAGCTATAGGAAATAAAGATAAAATTTTAAATCCATTTTGCATTAAGTTTTTGAGTATACTGAGGAACTCTACACTTACTTTTGACTATAAAAATATCAATCCACCTCTGCTAAGACCTACTTATATCAATCAACTTTTGACACCACAAAATTCTTATGTAATATGAAGAATACAGAGCAGTGAAACACTGTGTCTCAACCTTTGTCCCTCACATGAAGGATAGGACATATCTGCTTTTTAATACTGATTTTAGGGCTCTGAATTAACCTCTAAACAATGTGTTTTTTTGATAATATGCAATTCTACTGATTAAGGACAGTCTTGGATAATATGCTAATTATTCAATTTTCTTAAGTATATCCTTTTATATGTAGGCACTCATTCACCCATTCAACAAACATGTATTGAATACCCACTGTAAGCACTGTGCAAGTTGCTGCAATTGCAAAAATATCTCAAGATAATTCCTGTCTCTGAAAAGTCTTCAAGTAATGGAGGTTACTTTGTGGCTTTTGATAGCAAATATTAACTTGGACCATATTCTGTGGGGAAAATAAGTCATAGCTTTATTTATTTTAGGATAGGTGAGAAATTGTGAGATAAATTATTTTTACAAAGTAGAATTTATGAAGAGTCAGAAGTACCTGTTTGAGACTCGAGAATTCCAATTCTTCTTTATATTCTTTTTATGCCCAATAGTGACTTAGAGATTTTTCTTTGCAGTTCTTTCTTGCTCTTTGATTTCACCCAGTGAATTTCTCCAAGAGCTTTTTTTCCCTTCACATAGGAAAATAAGTATGAATTATGCGTCTTTACTGTGTTCTTTACTTTAAAATAGCATAGTTAAAATGTACTAATAATATTGGACGTTCTTTAAACCATGACTTAATACCAAACTAGTTATTATCAGTTTATCGCTAATAGTAGGTTGTGGTTAAGTTTGTGTAAAAGTTAATTCCTAGTACAGAAGCTTCTCACTCCATTAACTCTAAAACAAATCTATTTTTTGGAATGAGATACTAAAATATATATGATGACTATGATCATAATGGTTTTTAGTGTACTATCTCCTAGGCTTTCATTTTAAATGGGGACAATATGGCCCTCAAATTGACAAAGAGTGGTTCTGGGGTACAACAAAAAAGCTTAGGTAGCAGAGTAGTTTGTGGTCCTCCAAAGCTCAGCTCTACCTGACAAAATCTTATTCCTTACTATTTAATCTCTTTCATTAGGAAGAAGTCAGGTTTAATTTATTTATTGATTAGAATACTTAATTTAAAATAAATATAAATTTAACTTATTTTTTTCTTCTTACAAGGAAGATAGTAAGAAAAGATTGAGACCACATCTTAAAGTATCTTTAAATCATCAGCCATTAAAATATAGTACTTATACTTTCCATGAATGTTTAATAAATTCCATATTTTCAGTATCTGATATTCTGAAAGTCTATTCAAAATAAGCAGCTATCTTAGAGGAATCAACTCATACTTAGAAACCACTGCACCTCAGCCATTTATTTGGACAATGGTCAGTTTACTGATTTATTCAGAAAAGATAGACATAATATGAAGAACAAGCACTGGCAAGAAAAGTCAGCTTCTTCATATTAAAAGTAGTAGTAGTAGCAATAATAACAATACAAAAATAATCTAACATTGAACCTTTGCTATGGACCAGGCATATGCTTTATAAGTATTAATTCATCTAATCCTCTTAATAGCTCAGTGAATTAGGTACTTTCAGTATTCTCATTTTACGCTGGAATCTGCAATTAATCACTGTGATTAGTATTCTGACAATTTTTCTAATGTAAGTCAGTCTAATACTTATCTAGTAACAATGTCTGTGAGGATATTTTCTTGAAGCCTGATTTTGATTTAGAAATTGCATTCATCCCTTCCAATTTACAGCTTTGGAAATTCCAAAATTATTGAAAACACCCACTGCTTCCTTACTTAATAAAATTTTTTAAAGAAATTAACATTAACCAAGCAATAATCATTATCCAGCTTACTGATCATTACCCAGTCTGCCTATGAAAGCTTATTGCCTCAGCCATCCTGAGTCACCATCACCTTTTGGTGTTCAGAGGGGGAAATATTATAGACTAGGGTCTTCCTACACTGCATTCTTTCTCCCACCTTCCACCAAAAAGGCATTCAGCATGCATGAGGACACTTTCAGAGTGAGAGGGACACTATTAACAATTATACCAGGACATGTCCAAACAGACTGTCTGGGAAAACCAGCACATAGGATCTCCCTACTCACGCTGCTCCATCTTTTGGGCCACATCTATTCTCAGCTCTACTGTTTTCTGCAACTATGCCATTAATACCATTATTCCTTTACACAAACAACTGGAACCTTTGGACCTGAAGAATCTAAGGGTTATAAATAATCTTTGGAGGTAGCTCAATCACATATTTTTAAATGTAAAAATAACAGTAATAATTTCCAACAATAGTATTACCCGCTCTGCAACCTAAATTTGTGAAGAAGTTTATAGGTCTATAAACTACTTTGGGAATATTTGTGTTTATGTGTTAGGATAATATTTGAATGTGAGAAAAACTATTCCTACTTCCCCTCTCTCTTACACAAAGAGCCCCTTTCCTCTTCAAATAGTGACTATAGTTTAGAGAACAGTGGTTAGATAGCTTTAAAAAGCTGTTAAGGCTGAAATTCCTTAACTGTATCTCCAAAACAGAAGGCCCACAGATTGGATGCAAGGCAATTCATTGGAATGTAGAAAGACAACATTCAAGTTTATATTATGTTTATCTACGCAGAAGAAAAAATAAGCTTTACTAATATTCAGTGAGGACTTAACACTGACATACTCACATGTTATGATGGTATGTCATGTTAGCTGAGGAAAACTGGAATTTTCACAGAAAGGCTGACTTCATTGGGGTTTTTTGGGTTTTTTTTTGAGTTGCAATATACTGAAGTTTGTGTGCCCAGGTAAATGGATTTTTTATTATATTATCTAGTTTTAGCTAAATTACCAGTAGAAAGCGGGCAAGAGACTTAATTAAACAGAATCCTATAAAGAAATCAGATTAAACATAATACTAGTAAGGTCAACAAAAATAGAGGAGCTAACACATCAACCTAGTACAATTCAATCATTGATTAAAGAAATTGAAGCAGATACAATTAAATGGAAAACTGTTTCATGTTCATTGATTGGAAAAATTAATATTGTTGCAATGTCCATACTACTCATAGCAACATAAAGATTCAGTGCAATCCCTATCAAAATACCAATGGGGTATTTCACAGAAAGAGAAAAAAAAATCATAAAATTTGTATGAAATCACAAAAGACCCTGAACAGCCAGAGCAATATTGAGAAGACAGAATGCAAGGTATCATACTTCCTGATTTCAAACTATATTGCAAAGATCTAATCAAAATAGTATGGTACTGGCATAAAAACAGACACATAGACCAATGGAACACAATAGAAAGCCCAGAAATAACCTACTCATATACTTTCAACTAATTTTCAGATAGGGTGCCGAGAGTACAAAATGGGGAAAGGACAGTCCCTTCAATAACACCGTCTCTTCAATAAGTGGTGCTGGGAAAATTGGACCCTTAACCTACACCATATACAAAAATTAACTCAAAATATATTAAAGACTAAAATGTAAGACCCAAAACCATAAAACTCTGCGAGAAAACAGAGAGTGAGCTTCTTGGCATTGACCTTGACAATGATTTTTTTGGATATGACCACAAAAGCTCAGGCAACAAGAGCAAAAATAAACAAGTGGGACTACATCAAATTGGAACGCTTCTGCATGGCAAAGGAAACAAGAAAAATGAAAAAATAACCTATGGATTGGGAGAAAATATGTACAAACCATATATATGATAAGAGATACTGGAATTTGCTAACACAGTAGACTTTAGGTACTCTCTCAACAAAATTATCTTGACCATAATAGCCACTTCATCATACAATTATGTCAGATCATGTTTTACACCCTAAATACATGCAATTTTTATTTTAAAAATATAACATATGAACAATAATTTAGGACTGTTATTGGTCAAAGAAGTTTTACTTTAAATAACCATACTAATACCCAGGTGACTGCAACCTAGTGATTAGAATAAGCAGCCTAATCTAGAGCATAGTATTTAATATTACTCAGTTGTTCCACTGGATGAACTAGAATCTGCTTTAAGCTTGAGCATCACAGCACATTTATACCAGTTGCTATCAAGTACTAGAATTAATCTTTTCTGTTCAGTTTATTGTATTGTCTTCAGTTGCTAACACTGTTAAGTACAGAAATAAAGTAGGCAGTAGATAAGTAAAAAGCAAAGATTAATGATCAGATTATCAGTCTCCAGAAAATTGAATTTTATTTTTTAGAGACTTTGGAAATCACATATTAGTCAGCCAGCAAAACCAGGTTGCCATTAGGCAAGTGTATACTCAAGCTCTGAATAATTCACATGTAAATGTCACAAAAAGAGACAGCATTTTACAGTCAGGTATAATATTTCTCAGAAATGTCATTCATTTAGTCATATCATTTAGACTATCATTTACTTTTGAGATTTATTTTTATGTACCAGCCAATCATTTAAGTAGACATGTAGTTTGAAATTTATAAAAATTAAAACTAACTTTACTTTAGTTTTGCTAATTTTAATTAGTTAATTTAGCTTTGCTAATTTTACTGTCCCTACCCTTAAAACCCTTAACGAAAAAGAGACTCCTGATTATTGCTTATCATTGAAAAGAACTGCCAGGAATACAACAAACCATTTAGTGAAATCAAGGCATGTTCAGTTCATGGTACCTGTGTTCATAATGCAGCATCCTTTCTGAGCACATATATCTGGACGTAATGAACTTTAAAATAACATGTTCATTCATCTTCTAGGTTTCCACAGACATGCAGCTCCAGTTACAAGGAGGCAGTTCCCGCATGGTGCACACAGGATGGACTACCTGCACTTTGAGGATGATAGCCGTGGTTGGTGGTTTGACATGGATATGGTCATCATCTATATTTATTCAGTGAACTGGGTCATTGGGTTCATTGTTTTCTGCTTTCTTTGCTATTTTTTCTTTCCGTTTTAGGAATTTTCACACCTTACTACAGTTGAACAATCACAAATGATGTAGAGAGCAATTACTTAAACATTTTTAAGTGTGCTTTGAAATTTTTATAATATCGTGTTATATAAAATGTGGGTGTTTATAGAAAGTCTGAATATAAGTAACTTATTAATGTTTTTCATGTAACAAACTGAACTTAATGTATCTATCTAGCTCTTAGCAACAATGCACTATTCATTTCATAGTTCTTCATTTAGGATTTGTGGAGTCTAATTTTACAATGTCTCTTTTATACTTATCTTTATTGTAAAGACTGAGGTTTTCCTCCACTTAAAAATAGTAAAGAGGCAAGATGAAATGATAATATGGGTAGATACCAGAAAATATTTTGTCACCACTTATTCTCAGGCACATTATATGCACTGAAGATAAACCATATTCTCTGGAACTAACCTAACAGGGTATATTCCGTTTGGGTCTCTAGCCGTCCCTAATGTCCCTTTCTATTACCGAGAAAGCTGGCTGCCCCTTTTTTTACAGACCTTATAGTAGCTTTAGTGCAACATTTTTCATTATTACAAGAATAGAATAGTAAATATTTAAAAAAGAGACTGACCCCCACTGATATACACTTAGAGAAGTATATTAACACTTTCTGAATTGCAGGATTGTTCACCTGAAGAAATAAAGAATTTATTGACTGATTTTCAGTAGTCTAAAATGGCAATGCATGTCCAAAATGTAATTAATATAGTGATTCATTTAACCATAAGGTTGTCAATTATATTGTAAATGTGCAATAAAGAGTGATTTTAAATTTTTATTGTTGGTATGTGATTTGATGTCTGGAATAAAGAATTTTTGGAAATAGGCTTATGGACTTATAGAAAGAAAACCTGACATTTACTTTATTATTATAGTGACCCTTGGAATTAGTTTTTCCCTTATTACAAAAAAAAGGGGGGAATCTAAATTATCCCAATATGGAAACCAACTGGGGCAGGTATTCCCATTTTAAAAGTGTGAAAATTAAAGCACAGAGAAGTAAGCTTATTTACCTCAGTCACTCAGGTGGTCTTTGTGTAACCTAGGACAAAAGTATTTATTAAGCACTATTAATCCAACATTCCTACCCTATAATGTCATTATGTCTGGTGATGCAATGTGCATGTTTTTACATAAGGTATGTTAATCTCTCAATGCACTAAAAATGCTGCCATCATCCAAACAAATTGGGATGGATCAGGCTTCAATAGTTCAGTCTATGAAAAGTCTAAATTTGACCTAATTACTACCGACTGTATTTGAATAAAAGCACTTAACTGATGGTATGTGATGTTCTAAGAAATATGGAAGTATGGTACAGATTTTTATTCTAAAACTTATTGTGTTTAAAATTTTATCTGTGAAGGAAAACAGTAATGTGTATTAGACATAAAATTCACAAAGCAGCAAACTAAATAAAATGTAGAAACGAATTTTTGCTCATATAATAAAATATATAAATTATGCTTGCAGTATAGTGACATGAACTTATATCTTACTGAAACAATGTCAACAAAGCTCAATATTACCTTACAGAAATAAAAATAGATATACATATATATAATCTTTAATTTATTGCTCAAAATGTAAGAGTAGGAAGTTCGATATTAACAGGAGATGTGGGAGCAAATGGAACCAGACATCTGATTAAGCCTGATTAAGTAGGAAAAAACAAGCTTTTCGGCTACCCCAGGGAATAACTGACATTGTTCTGCCAAATGGAGCAAAACATCCACTAAGTGGGAAGGACGGCTTTTCGGTCACTCTGAGGAGTCCACCCAACTAGTGGGAAATGGCAAGGAAATGCCTTTTACTAAGCTCATGCACAGAATCCAAAATGGCAACCACAAAAGGGGAAGGGCGCGAGCCCCATAAAACCCCAGAAAGAGATTGAGTAGTGTGAAAGAAACCCTGCTCTTTCCCAAACCCAAGGGAATCCAAAGAGGTTTAACAAAGACCTTGGGCAGCTGCTGCCCTCTAGCCTTCCCTCTCTCGCCCAAGAATGTACTGTCATTTCGCTTTAATAAACCTTGCCCCTATCACTTAAAACTCCTATGTGTGTCCCTGAAATTCATTTCCTGCAGCACTGCAGAAGAGCCTATTTCTTCCAGTAACAGTTGTTGGCAACCATAAAGGGGCCAGTAGGAGCCACAGCTGGTGCTAAGAAACCAGAATGTCACTGCCTTTGGGCTAGTAGGTCCCTTGTCTATTTTTTTCCCCCCTATTCCGCCTTCTGTCCCAAGTGTTTCAGCTGCATTTAAGGGTGGACTTGGGTCTGCCATTTAAGAGCTGTTAGAGCACCTGCCACTGTAATAAAGAAGTCTCCCAAGACAGGATAACGCAGTGATAACACAGGCCAGATGCCAATTGGCTGCCCGCCGTACTAAGCAAAAGTCCACCGAGGCTCACTAGTTGGGGAAACGTACCCATACATCCTCCCGATAGGATTAATGACATTCTAATCTTCCTTTAATGGCCTCAAATATTCCTTGCTTAGCCTCTGCTGCTGCCTGTGTACGCCCTCTAGCTGTTCTTCTCTCTTGCCCACCCCTGCCATTTTGGCTGCTGCCCTCTCTGTTGCCTGCCCTTTCCAGCTCCAGATCCTGAATTCCCCTCAGCTCTACTTCCCCGCAGATGCTTCCCTCTGCTCCCGCTCCATGCCCTGGCTCGCTCAGGCTGCACTTCGCAGTTGCAGTGCTTCCCCCGCTCTGGCGGGCCTCTGAGGCGCTCCACTGCCTGGGTGTCTCACTCTGCTAAGCTTTTCTCCGTTTACTTGCCCACGTCTGTCCTTTTCCTCACCCAGCCTGGTAATCCGGCAAGATCACTTTAAAACTGATGAGGCCCGGGTGTGGCTCAGTGGATTGACTGTCTGCCTGTGAACCAAAGGGTCGCCAGTTTGATTCCCAGTCAGGGCATATGCCCGGGTTGAAGGCCAGGTCCCCCATGTGGGGCATGCAAGAGACAACCACACATTGATGTTTCCCTCTCTCTCTCCCTCCCCCTCTCTAAAAATAAAATCTTTAAAACAACAACAACAAAAACTACTGAGGTCTTCTAACCAGACCCTTCATGAGGTCTCTAGTCTCCTGGTCCCCCAGGGAAAGGAGGGAGCACAGTTTAACCAGGACATCCTGTAAAATAGGGGATATTGATATGTTCCACATAATTCCTTGAATTGGAGCCTGGATACTCTTTGTTTCCACCACTTATTCATGGCCTTTAAAGCTTTCACTGATAGTCTCAACAGGTCTTCCTGCTGGGTAATTAGGAATGTAAATGAGGCTGAGGTAATTGAAGGAAAAAAGTGCTGCTTTTAAACCCTTGTGGCTCAAGTTGCCCAAACTGGTACCTTCTCCCTCCCTTCTCCAGCCTCCTTCTGCAAATCTCAAAATAAAATTAAAATCAACATGGAAATTCGTACCTCCAAGGCTGAAAACTCCCAGGCCTCAGCCCACATTAATCCTCCTGAAGGTACATAACAAATAGCCTTTACCTGCAAATACTTACAGAAATAGGAAGATTTATATTGAATCAATTGTGAAAATAATTTTAAAGAACCTCCACAAGAGGAAACTAATCTTGAGACTGACTGATCGTTTGTTCATTCCTCGCCCCCTGCCCCCCACCAACTCCTGCCCTCTCTCATACCCAGGGGCACTCCACGATTTATGACCTTCCTAGAAAAGGCCAACAGGATTTGCCCTCAGGGCCCAGGGCGCTGTCTCTGGCTGGCTGGCCGGCCCAGCTAATATACCTAGGTTACTGGGGATCTCCTCTGATCCTTCCCAGGTCCCCTGTCTTTTAAAACACCTTTTCCATGACAGTCTCAGGGACGGCTTAACAAGGACCCTCTAATCCCTTCTGCCTACCAGGCCTCTTAAAGGACCCGGGCTGCTGGGAACAGGAAAGGCAGGGCAACAGGTCACTAGCCTGACTACTGAAGACCAGACTTACAGGATGAGTGTTCCCCCTGGGGTTGCAGAGGTACTAGACACCCCCTGCACACACAGACTCAATGGGGGCACCTCCGGGTAACACTAGCTAAAGCCAGAGGCCATCCAGCAGGGACACCTCACCTGAGGAAATGGGCCATACTTACCATTTGTGTGGAGTTAGGGTGGTGTAAAATCCAGCGAGCAATTCCTGAGAACCACTGTGATTGTCGGTAAGGCTGCCCTCAGAAGATGGGATGACTCTCCACACCCAAACATCAACTATACGGTAGTGTGTTCAGAAGGGCCTGCACCCCCATCAGAGGAGGGACAGGGCACAGTCCTTGGGACATCAAAGTTGGCAAGGGGGTCATGCACCATCGGTTCTGGTCACGTGACGGGACTGGGGAACACGGGGGAAACCCATGTTTCCCTTACCTGCCCAATTACTTCCTCTTTTACAGGGAAGGAAATTCCTCTCCCCAAAGACCATGTGCAACATCGTCTTCATTCTTGACTCCATTCTTGAAAATTCAGACCCAGTAACCCCAATATGAACATTCTCACCTGCTTATCAACCCTTCTAGTCCTCAGTACCTGGCAAGTCTCTGGAACAGGACCTGCTCTGCCCCCTACAGGAGGTGGCAGGAAGGCCTCTGGGATCACCCCGGTTCCTGTGCGCTTCTCAGGGTCAGACTTGAGTGATTGCAAGGCACATCTATCTAGGTGGAGCCACACAGGACACTACAGGATTCACAGGGGAATTTCCAGCTTTAACCCAAACCCACAATTTAACCTGGAAAGGTTTAACTGTCCTTTTCTCCCAATGCTGCCAACCTGAGGAAAAGCTCTGAATTTGGGGAGCAGCCCAGCAATATGCAGATTCTGTACATAAAGCCCAGCCAAGCAGACACCCCATAGGGACCACAGCAATCCCCCAGACGGGTCCTAACTGGTCTTAACCAACTGGGGTAAAGCGGGGTCGCCTGCAGGGACCACATGATTTTTTGCCTCTTAAAAGGCATGAAAAGAAGCAACATCAAGGCTGTCAATTATGCCAAAGTAGGCAACCCAGCTCCCAGGTAAGAACCTGTCTCTCTCCCACTCTCATCTGACCAGAGCTGTTCACAAATAATCCAACACAGACCCAGGCAAGCCCAGAGAAGAAACAGTAGTAGCCACACACTTTATTGATGGATCTGTCCCTGACATTCAGAGGAAACTACAAAGGCTAGCCCTGGGCCCCCAAACCCCATTAAATGAATTAACAGGTGTGGCTTTCTCTGTCTTTTACAGTTGAGATGAGTTTGAAGAGAACAAAGGTAAAAGGTGCCCTGAACTTTTGGCAGCCACCTTACAAGGGGCAGATCCACCTCAGGGAGGGCCCACCAGTCACCCGCCCCAGAGATTGCCAGGAGAGGGAGCCTGTTATTCCTGCGCGAGCCCAGACCATCAGATCCAAGTGTCCTACAAGGGCCACCAAAACGATGGCCCATAACCACCTAAGACACCTTGCCGCCTCTGTAAGAAAAAGGGGCACTGGAAGAGGGGCTGCCCCCTCTCGCCAAATAGTATCAGAGGGCTGAAGAGGCCTGGGGTACTCAGAAGCTCTCGAAAGACACACCCAGGTCACGGGGAG